TCCTGGGGGGGGGGGGAGGAACAGCATGAAACGGGTGGTGGTGGATACAGCGGCTCCATCATCGCAAAACGCAAACTTCCCTTTGGAACCCCCAGTGAAAAATTAGAAAAGATGCTTCTGCCCCGCACTTTTTCTTCAACAGGAAGGTCTACGGCCAACTGGGCCCAACTTTCAGCAGTCCCTGCCTGGTGCAGTGTTGGGGCTAGTTGGTGGAATGAATGGTCCACCTAAAGAGGGCAGAGATGGTCAACTCGCGGTTTCTGAGCCCATTAAGCCAAAACTGTGTGTGTGTGTGTGTGTGTGTGTGTGTGTGTGTGTGTGTGTGTGTAATTAGGTACCAAAACTTAAAAATCATGAGACATCACATGAAATCTGAAATCTGGATTTGAACTTCCCTTGAAATTTGTCCGGGACAATCATTGGCTAGGATTAAGTAGCAGAAGAGCAGGTGCTCCCTAAGGACAAGCCGATTTTCCTTAGTCCCTACCACTCCCCACTACCCCCTGAAAGGGGAACCAAGCATCAACTACCCTACATATACACACATTCTTTTTTTTCCCACATAGTAGAGGCAAGACAAGAGCAAACTGTTTTTCATATCCATGTATCCACCAAAAGTGGGAAAATAACAGGCTGAGAGATGTAGAGCTTGAAGAAAAATATTTTCCTAGATCTACCTGGAGTCCCTCATGTACAGTTGGCAATTCTTGGTGTAAGCAGACTATGCTCCCATCACTGCCTCCCCTGCTGTCACCACTGCCTGGACACCTGGGGGATCAAAGGATCCTGGGGAGCGACTGCTGGTGGTCATTCCACACTCAGAGCCAAAGGAGCAGATGTCTACAGTTCACTTGCTCCCTAAAGTCACTGTGACAAGACCAGTGGGGACACCCAGCAGGAGGCTCCAGGTACCCACAGGCTACTCAACTGGCGGCTAAGTGACCTTGGGCAAACTACTGAACCTCTCCACACCCGTTTCCTCATCTGCAAAATGGGCATTCATGAGGACTACGAATTGTTACAATTTACTTGTCTCTAGGGAGCACCCCTTTGTGAAACCACCTAGTTGAAATGCAGTCCCTACAAGGGGGCCACAGGCTACGCATGGCCTGGGGGCTTGTTTGGAAGCTAGTCGTGGGTCACCCACAAATCAGAAACTCTGTGGGTGGAGCAGGAATCTGTTTTTAACAAACCCTACAGGTGACGCTGATACCCACTAGTTTGAGAAGCATCGTCAAATAAAAATTTTAACCGAACACCTGTGCAAAATTTTTAGGAGGGGGCGTGTAAGACCAAAATCAGATCTCGTAAAACTTCTAAAACTGAGTTGCAGGTGTAATATGTAATATTGTATATTCCATCAACTCCATACAACAAAATGTTTCTTGTAACGAGTGACCCAAGAGCCCACGGACAGGATTTTACATGAAACAGCTGAACGCACATGACAGGTGAAGATGTATTTGATTTGAGGCCATCCAGACCAGACTCTCTTGCCACTGGGTACCCTGGGGACTGGCACGGGACCCAGGACCGGGCACTGCAGGGTGAGGACGGAGGGGCGGACCCCACCCGAAGAACGCTGACCCCGGGAGAAAAGACACGACCCCAGCCGAGCTCGCCCGAGGGCTTTCAGGGCCCGGCCCCAAGGTCCCCTCTCACCACGCAGGGGCCTGGACAGCGTCCAGGAAGCAGGCGGCTCGGCCCATCCGGGCACAGGGAGGGGCGGCGAGCCAGGCCCCAAGCAGGGGGGGGGGGG